GATGGCCCCTGGGGGCCACCAAGGCCACTCACGGGGACCCGCCAACTCCCTCCCACCGTCCCTCCCCCGCCCAGTCCCCATGCACGTCCGGCTGGGCCTCCCCCAAATAGGTGATCCCGGGGCCCCCAGAGGGAGAGGGGCGTCCACGAGGGAGGAGAAGGAATCTCAGCTTCCATTTGGAGATTTGGAGCCGGACATTGACACTGCCCCGGGGACAGGTCGGGGACAGAGGAGGCTCATTTATGAAGGCTGCGCCCCTCCCAAAGCCCCGCGAGGTCGGCCTCGGGCTACCCCGTGTGACAGAGAGGACGAGGCCGGGAGGGGACCCGGCTTCCCCAGCGCTGAGCAGCCCCCGGGTCCCTTCTTGGGATCCGTGGACAGTCCCGCCCGTCCCCAACCGGTGCCCTGGGAAGAGGACCTTCTGGGACCCCCCCAGCAGCCCTCGCCGGCCTCCCCACAGCAGAGCGGCCAAGGGCAGGCCTGTCCCTGGCCCGTGGCTGTCAGGCCTGGCTGGGCGCAGCAGGTCGTTTCCTGGTGGCATCCAGGGTTCCCGTCACAGGATGTGTGGCAACAGGTGTGGCCGGAGGTTAGAGAGGAGGGCAGGGCCCCGGAGGCGGGGTGATGGGGAGCAGTTTCCCGGTCACAGAGGCCTGAGTTTGAGTCCTGGCCCATGCTGTGTGGCCTCAGGCAAGGCACTCACCCACTCTGGGCCTCAGTGGTCACACCCCTGACATGGGCATGGTATCTCGAGGGCCAGCTGTGGGAATTCAGGGGCTCTTCCCGGCGTCTGGAAGGGACAGGCTGGTTATGCTGTAAGCCCTGGATGGCGGCCTCGGTGACGGCCAGGTCAGTCTCCCTCTCTGGAAGACGAGGTGCGTGTTCCCATTTCTTCCTCGCGTTTCCACGTCCACCAAGGGTCGTCCAACTTGGGGGGCCCCTGCCTCAGGTCCTCCAGGAGCAAGGGGAGTCTAGACGCCTGGGCAGGGCTGCTGTCTGGACAGTCCCGCTTGCCGGGCCCTAGGACCTTGGTTTCCTGGTGGTGTCCTTGCACCTGTCCCTTGTCCTCCGGGGACAGCTCTGTGTCCAGGCCTGGCTCTGGGACACCCCTCAGCAGCTCCGTCTTCGCCTCCAGAGGCTCACTCCCCTCGCCTTTGTTCCAGGACACCTCCACCACCAGGGTCTCTTGAGGGGACACCTCTTCAGGGAAGTCCCCCGGGATGGGCCATTGCCACAGCTAGAAAGGAGGGCGGGGCCAAGGCGCTGGGCGGGGCCATTCCCACCCCCCCCATGGGCGGGGCCCAGCCCTGGGGGCAAATCCTTTAAAACCCTGAGACCCATTTAAGGGCGCC